CAGCCGCCACAGCCGGGATTCGAACCCGCGACCTGCGGGTCAGCAGCCGAGTACCTAAGCCACTAGACCACCGCGGCGGGGCGACACTAAAGGCAAGGGACAATTTATGTCAGAATGAAAGCTCAATGTATGACGCCTCAAATGGAAATATTATCGATAACAGTGCCTTACTTACCAAGAAATTAAGCTAAATGTATCATATGACGTGCACCATGAGTGGGGCATTTGCGAAATGATCCTGATGACGTGACAGTGTCTGCCAACAATTAATCACTAGTAACCAAACTAGCTGCAATAAAAAAAACTTTTCGTGCATTAAGATACTTAATAAAATGCTACTTGTCCATTTCGGTTTGATTTATAGAAAAAAGAAGTGCCTGACATCACTATGGGGAATAGCACGAGTAGTTAGGTTCAGTTTTTGGCTGGATAGGTCGTGCCATCTAGCTGGGCCTAGTTTAGCCAAGCAAGCAAGATTATGGCCTCCGAGATTGCAAAAAATTGTTAAATATTCGTTGTTGCTACTGGTGACGGCGGCCACGTAAAATGCAGGCAATGTTGGGCACGAACACTGTGACATCAAGAGACCACTTTTACGCGTGGGTGATTTGAAGTGTGCTAACGTGATGTGGACCATTACAACACAATTTTATTTCAAAATAAGCACTTCCTTGGCACAAAACTATCACTATGAGGTTTCTGGACCGCTTTTTCAACAATCAACATCGACTTAATATTTGCCTTTAAAGTCTCCTTAAAACGCCGAGCAATGTTGTCTGGTTTGTTCACTCAAGCCAGAGCGGCACGAGAAGTTTTTCTACCATCTGCATGTCATATCCTTATAATAAATCTACTGCCACCAAGCGACCAGTCTGGGAACCGGCTAACCTTGCCGTCCTTCCGTCTTTCGTTTCCTCCACCTAGTGCCACTGCTGCCGACACCTACCAAGCGATCACTTATGGCTATACCTAGGCGAGATTGTTGCCGGATGTTTCGGCGCCTTCGAGCGATAATGCAGCCCTGTGGCACGGTGTCGGACTAACAAGGCTCCTAGTAGACGGTCGAACGCCTTGCAAAAGTACCCCCCCCCCCCCCCCCCCCGCAAGCAATCGTCGCATCAAATGACCCTGCTCCACCCACTTCTAAATTTCGTCGCTGGTGCACGCATTGCCGCACTCAGCCTTTATCTATAGTCGATGGATTGGAACGGGCAGCTGGGAATGTTTGTAATTCATTTGGCACTAACAGTTTCAAGCCTAAACTAGCACACGCAACACAACAAGCGCGACGAACTTCTCCGAAAACTAACAAATAACGATGATAAGAATGAGTCCACGCATAGAGTTAATATTACTAGCACCCTCCAACATCAAGACGCAACATGCAAACGCAAAGGCCTTACTTTCGCGACCAGTTACGTCAGACGCCATGTTTTGCAATGCCTATCTCAAAGACTATGCCTTTGTTTGCGGCCATAGTTCGTGGCAACTGAAAACACCTGTCTAACCTGTCCCTTGTGCTACTCCTTGCGCTATGCCTCTCATGCAGACAATCATACTGTGAAAGGAGGTCAAGCTGTGTGGAAAGTCGACTAAGCCGCCCTCTCCCATGGTCGATCGGTCGGCTCGGAGCGCACTTTGTAACATATTATATGCATGGAGTTAGCATTTAGACTCTAGAGAAAAAGCTGGGCCGCAAAAGCTATAACCACCAAGTTCTGACATCTTGGTACATTGTCATTGTCGCCATTACAATACTTAAAAGAAGTGCTAAATATATCACTTTATTACACTCAAATTCTTGCAGTATAAATTATAAACAAGTGTGTTCACGTATTAAAAACAAACAGGAATGGTGTGCTGTTTATATCAACTACTTTTACAGATCATGCAATGTTCACATATGTAATTTGCTGCATGCAGAAATCAGATTTTGCAGTTTTGTTTATTAGATGGCGCCACCATGCTTGTACTGAGTATCAAAATTTGGGAGAGGGGTCGTGCGGTTTGGGGCAGATTCCGCTGGATTGCTTAAACATCGTCATCCATGTTTTTTAAATGGGAATGCATTTCTTAGGCTATATCAGCCATCCGGCGTCCGCGGCATCCGCACTGGCAGGTGTTATATATATATAGCAGTTGAAAGTGTGAAAATGAAGAAGATAAGCCCCAGTTAGATTCACTGCCGTGAAAGCAAGACATTTAGCGCAATGAACAGTTTGCAAGGACGGCTATCAGCATCAATAACTTTTAGGTGTTGCTGAAGGAAGCACTTTTTAAAGGCCTCTCAGATTGACGAATTATTACAAAACATCCTTGCGCTCCAAGAATAAAATGCTGCAGGCTCAACCAATAACAAGAGTTGTATTTTCAGTTGTATTTTAAAGCTCGGCACAGAAAAATGGGTGGTCAGTCCCTTTAAAGAGTCACTAAAGAGAAAAAAATGACCTGGTTTAGATTGACAAACTGCACTCAGAGAACTCTAATACCATATGTTTTACTGTCATCGGTTCATTGTTAGCAGAAAAAATCAAGGTTGAAATTTCCCATTTTTAATTTTCACACCGACATGTTGACGTGCGAAGTCGCAAATTTCAAAATGTATTTTTCGTATTTTTGTGGTGTTCGCTCGATGAGATTTTCTGAAACTTCGTATGCTGGGTCTATGGCACCCACAGATGGCACTGTACTTCAGTAGACTCCTTCAAAATCTGTTACGTCACGGGGTTAGGTGCGGGAACGTCAAGGTGGCGTCTCCAGCCCTCCACCTGCATTTTCTTTTAACATGTTTTCTCGCTTAACGAGCGTCATGTCGCAGTAGGTGATGTTTTTTACGATTGTGAAATTGCACTTTACTAATACGCAATAAGTCGTTTCGCTCTCTAGTTGGTTCACAAATACTGATTTCAACACAGGACAGATAAGCAGAGGACAAGCGCTATCATTTAAAGAGGGAGCACAAGTACACCATTTGCTTTATCCTGATATAGAGTCGAGTTGTACAGTAAATGTTAACTATTATCAGCAATTAAATTTGTGAACTATGATTTGGTGTTCATGGCAAGGGCAAATCACAGCCACAATATTAATGTAGCAAGTGTAGTATATTGAACAATGTAATCAGTATTCAAGGGCACAAAATATAAATCCTGTATTCAATGAAAGAATCTCTAGTGGGCTGATAATCAGTCTGTATAATCTATCCATAAATGAGTGTTCTTTATTTTTGGGTAATGCTTAAATTATTTTGCAACACTGCATTCAAACTGATTGCCACAATGATGACATGATTTCCCTGTGGCACATAACCTATCATTTTTATGGCTAAGGGCGAACCATCTAAATAACACACACACACACACACGCACACACACACACACACATATATATATATATATATATATATATATATATATATATATATATATATATATATATATATATATGTGTGTGTGTACATATATATATTCGTGTTAACAAGCATAATGAGCCTAGAACTGTGGCATACTTTATCAATTAGCATCATCTAGGAATGAGAAACTATACAGTCAATACTTCGAAGCAGGCATTAACCTGAAAATTGTCAGCACACTGTACTTCAGACACTAATGCTTGTAATACCAGGTGCGTAAGCACGATAGAAAGGCATCGCGGGTCTCAAGTTAGTAAACGCGCGCGAAACAGTAGCTGATGCGCGGCAACAGTAACGCGAACCACGCAACCTTGCATGTCGGATTCACGTAACCGGCAACTGAGTATTAGGAAAATAATACGCGACACTTCGTCGTTGCTGCCATTCTACACCGGTGTCTCACAGTTACTTTTGTCGATAGTGATCGGGCCTGACACGGATCGAATTTCCCCATCCCGAGTGGCTCCTTTACACAATCACTGTTGAGAAGTTTAATCCTAATCGGGCTCGATCGCCATCAGCAGTGCAACGTGCGACACCGGTATCACACAAAGCAGGGCCAGTATATGGTAGACTACGACAACCACCTGTCAATCGCGAAAACACGACATTAGCATCGGCAAATGCATCGCTACAAAAAACCGGCCCAGCATTCCACCAATAATGCAATGAATTATTTCATTAACAAGCCACCATGTCTGTTGGGTGTGCGAAGGCAAACGCGCGAGCAATTGAGCCTGCGCATATAGCGCGCGACGAAAAAGCTTAAAACGACCGCGACGTTCCCTCCTAGCTGCTTATTATTATTAATGTTTTTCCCAGAGTCGCACGTTCATGGGTATTTTAAGATCTCCAGAAGGCGGGAGTCGGATGCGTACACATTGCTGGGTCAGTTCAGCAAAGGTACACACCTGATCTGTCCCACGCTTTCGACGCGCTTTCTAGCATCTCTGAAATCCCGCGGAAAACTCTGAGCACGTTAACTGACGCCGGAGCCAAAGTTGCGCCACAAAACAAATGATGTATACATTTTCCTTCGGTAGCTTAACACTGCTGCGCCAAAAGACAGGGCACAGTTTCGTTACAAGCATTCCATTGCAGTCGGTACTAAAGGAGTAAAATGGTACAATTAAGATAAGCGGTTAATGAAGCGTGGTTAGCTCCATGCCAGCCGCGACGCGCGAAAGCCGCGCATCGAAAAAGTGAATAGCAGTGGGTTAACCAGCGGCAGCAGCGGCTCACACACCCCATCCAACAAGACCACACTCAAGCAAAACAAGAAGATGAACAATATACCGCACTGCCAATCGAGAATACCTCGCGTAAAGCCGTAACCTAAACGTTAGCTTTCGGTGAAAGCAATTTCATTTTTTTTGCATTAGGTTACGGCTTCACTTCCTTCTACAGTGCGTGCAACAGAAAGCCCACCGAAGGAGGAGAGTTGTTAAAAGCGTAAGGAGGGCGAGGGCCCCACTCGAAGGCTGAAGCGCTTGACCCCAAACAGCCACTCCCATATGTTGTCGCCCCATGCGGCGGCAACACTACGTCGTGCGCCGTCCAGAGAAGACCTAGCAGCTCAAAGACTCACCCCTGGGTGCCCGAGGTGTTCCGGCACTCCCTGCGGGAGGTACGGCGTCGTGGAGCCGTTCAGCGTCCTCCCGTTGAGATTATTTCTGCTGCCGGGGGACGACGCCATTCCGTCTTTTCCGGCAACCCCGCTTCCGCAAATGGCGCTCGCTACCTGCAGGCGGCGGCAGCACGTTGCTGGAGAATGCTGCAGCGACGCGAGGCCCACCGAAGGGCTACGCGGATGCGCGTTTGACTCTCAAAAGGTAGCAACGAGGCTCGCCGAGTTCAGCCCTTGGCACGCGCCTGCCGACGGAACGATGGCCGACGGTCTCCCATGCACGGCGGCGGTCGACCGGAATTCGCGGGAGGCCTCGCGAGGGGGCGAGGACGGCCCGCGCTTCACTCACGTGCCACCTCGCAACAATCGTCGCGACGACATCGCGGAGGTCGGTCCGCAGGCAGCGACGAGCCTGGCCGACGCTGGTCGACGCAGCGGGCGACACGAGAAAGACGCCATCGGCCGCACGGATCGAAAATATTGAAAATGGTGGCCGTTGTAACGCAGGGCGGAGGAGGAGGAGGAAGTACGAGAGGATGAAGGCGGGAACAATCGGAAAAGCGCCCGTTACCCTAGCAACCACGCCGATAGGGAAAGAGCTGCGCCTCGCGACGCACTTTTGCTCTTTAGAGTAATTCTCCCTGGAAAATAATTGAGCAAAGGAAATCCTCACGCTCCTCGGCGGTACACATCATTTCGCGCTAGATGAACATCGTTTCGGCAATGGGACGCGTTCGCGACGACGCGCGGCGCGTAACACTGCCTCACGTAGCACCTGCGTATCTCACTCGGCGTGGCATCGCGCTTTATCCTCGGTGCCCCCCTTACATAGAACAGAAACGGCGATCGTTACCACGAACAGCTCGATATCGCGCACGTTGCCACCTTCGAGCAATCGGCCTCATGCTGGGCTCGAGTAGGTTTTAGTAAGCGCTCATGCCTGCTCATGCAGATCCCTCTCAAAAACACGTGCATAACTCTACGTGCTCGCAATTAAGGCGTGCAAACGTAAGACGAGTAGAAACGCTCACCTGTTGCATATTTTTATTTTCATCTGGTGTGCCCCGACGCCTTTCGTGCATCTGATGCATCATCTTCTCATAGCGCTCCTGCAGAGAAAAAGTAAACAGTTACTTCGTGCAGCAGTGACTCAGCGTGACAAGCTCCACACTCCGCTGAGCGGGATCGAAGAGGAAAAACAGGCCGCATACTTCAATGTCGCGCTGCACAAGTGCTTCGGAACGGGCATCTCCGCATACTACCGCGATACTCGCCAATCGATCGGATATGGAATGAGCGGTACGAGGAAATCTCGCTAACGGGAAAAAAATAAAAGAGCCGCTCGTGCCTGCGGGCACAGAACGCGGCCCCACAACGCTTCGTAGATGCGTTCATAGGCGGCGCCACCATCCCATCATCTGTGGTTTGTGTAGCGACGTTCGGCTTGGGTGGGCGGCACAGCGATTCCTCCCACTTACGGGCATGGGTACCACGCTGAGCGCGCGCTCTGCGCTTACTAGCTAGCCTAAAGCACTCATATCTAAATGGCTAAAGCTTTAGTACTAGCACTAGTTGAACGCAGTAAATGTAGAACGCAACTAACGAAAAATGTACAGTAAATATACATTTAAGCGTTAGGAATAATTGTGTGAAGGAAATGATCACAGATCAGACATCGAGTGCTTTTTTTTTTACGTCTTCAAGTCCCTGTCGTCACAAGAGACCCCTACTTTAAGAAAAAAAAAACGCAAAGCTGCAGTTCAATCGCTCATTATTAACGCGCTACTCAAGCTGTTTTTGCACAGCGGAGATGGACTAGGGGTTACTTTAGGTAGACCATATAGCTTCCTAGTTGTAACCAATGAGGTACGGGATAAATATCTTAACAATGCGTTAAAGAAAGGTTGCGTTAAGTAACGTGTACAGATAGTCATTATCTTAGAGTGTTTCAATAAACAAACAAGAGGAGCGCTATATTATGATTCACACAAGTCTGCAGTCCTCTGTATCCACGTTTACATGAACGTGCATCATCGTGTCGCATTTCCAACAAAATCGCATACAAGTAAGAGGAAGGCGACAGAGCTCGAAGGCACACTGAAGTGGTAGGTCGACGCACTAGCTTATAAAAAACACGAAATTTTCCCGGTCATCGTCGCCCAATTGATGCATCGCAACGCCGACCACTGAGGAGGCAAACGCAGTGTCTTCAACCATCTTAGCATGGCATCTGATGATAACTTTCCCTCATTCATTATATTATGATAAATAATTTTAACACAGTAAGCAATTAATGGCTGACCTTTTTGTTGATGACCTTGTGTGGACGAAAAGTGTGGCCATCGAAATGTGAGCCAGCGCCACCATGCAAGGAGAGTGCAACGCAACTTATGTAAGTGATGACGCAGAAACAACTGACGAACTAACTACGTACGAAAAAAAGCACTTCGTCCCGTGGACACGCGTGATGGTTTCAAGGCATCCCCTTATATTTGATGTCGTTGTTTAGAAAACCTTACATTTTTCTATACAATTACACAAATACTAATGCTCACACCCACCACCTAAAGTCACGCAACGAATACTTCTGCACGGACATATACACTCCAATCTTGAGAACTCGAGCGCCTGAGCTGCAGTGCGAACGTTCGAAAAGCCGAGCAGACACCATTCATGACACATATGCCGGCACATATTTCCTTGTTAAAGACAACCAAGCAAACGTGAAGGTGTTAATATCGTTAGATAGAAGAAAAAAAAGGTAGCATAACATTCCCCGGTATCGAAATTCGAGACATGAATAAAGCGTGTGCGTCCATCATTTATTAGTATGTTACTGCACGGCTGCTATTAGTAAAGCTCAACTTATCTCTTGAAGACGACAGAGTTGCGTGGCATCACCGAATATCGTTTGCGTAATGACAGAGACGGCTACTGATATCTGCCACACAAGTGCGACTAATACAGCCGCTTTGGTATCACACCGGAGATCTGCTTTTTTACTCTCATGAAACACGAAGAAATAAACGAAAAACAATGATGGGAGGAGATCGACTAAATAAGCGTGGCAAAGTGTTCTTGGTACACCCAAATGCACCAGTCATGCCGCTCGCCGACAGGCTGTAGAAAAGTGCGCGACAATGACTGGCATTCGGGCCCGGCTAGTTGCCAAAGGGCAGTTTCATTCGGAGACGCTCCCTTGCAGCAGCTTTGGCACAACTGCGCACGCACAACGCGTCGCCCAGTAGCTCGCGAAAGTCCCCTAGAATGACATCGCCGGACCTACATTTAAATAAATAAAGAAAAAGAGCGCCGCGTTAAAGAAAAGCAATGGTACGGATGAGCGCACTGACGCGTCGAAAAATAGGAGGGCGAGTGATGCCCCAGCGCTGGCAAATCGACGTTTCCTTCCCCGTATCCGCGACTGCTCGAGAGAGTTTCCAGTCCGTTCGTCGGGGGAGCGAGTAAAAGTGCAAAAGAGGAGACTCGAGAAATAACGGCAAGATGGCGAGCATGTGGCGTAAGAAACGGAAGCGGAAATGAGGTCCCCGAAAATTTTCGCACACCGCTCGACACGAGGAAGATACTGAGAGGCGGGAGGGGGACGAAAGTTCCGAGCCGGAAGGTCAGGAGCCGAGTGGAGAGAAGGTCAAGTTATTTACCCCCCCAGCACACTCCGGGCGTGTGGGCATTTTGCGAGAGGAATATCGATCAGAAATTCTGGGAACCGGCAGAGCGCAGCCGCCTGGGCTCTCCGTCGTCGTCCTCACGAGGTCCTCTTCCGCTGTTATACGCGGATGCATTGTGCGCAGCGAGAGATTGCGCCCCGATATTCGCGACCGTAAAAAGGCGAGGTTCGCGATACGCTGGCCAAAAGACCCGTGGCACGGCGCCGAAATTGTGCGTCCCGGCAAGAACCGCGGACGCACAATTTAAGAGACTCGCGCCGAGGCTGACTCCGAGAAGGCCCGGCGTCGACAGTGTGGTGGAAACCAGCAGGGCTTTCTAAGGCCTTCTGAGGAAATAACTTCTACTCACCTTCAACTTCCGAAAGAGTTCGAAGAGAGCTTTCGAGCAAGCGGCTTCAAGGCACAGAAAGTGAAAAGAGTGGTGTTGCGTGGCAGTGAGTCAAGACGGTGCACAGGCGCCGTGTTCCTAAACTTCGCTTGATTGCTCCAGTAATTAATTACTATTATTATTTAATACAATCGAGAACTGTGGTACACACCTTTTTTCACTGAAGATGTAGTAAATACAGGTACACCTCAAGACAAGTACACTACACCGCATATCTACTTGAATAAACAATTCCCTTTTGCAAAATTCATTAGTAGATAGAATACAGCAGTGTGGCTGGTTCGGATCCCTACACACCGTAGAGAGCATTTGCCACCCCAAGCGTGACTCGCAGTATCGTTCCTCGAGCCCACTCGAAATTACACCTGCTACGTCAACGTGACGCTACGCCCTTCCAGACCTGCTCAACCAACGCCAGGCTACAGCTCACTTGTGTCACACGCCCTCCATCCCCCACAACCCAAACACACACAGCCGCTATCCTGCACCACACGTACTGTTTCGCGACCTCCAGATATTTATCATTTACCCTCCTTGTTCCCCAGAAAGTGGGGTGCATTCCCAGTGACGTCATTTTGACGTCAGGCGACAAGACCGGCAGACTGCACGGAGGTGTTTTCCCTGCTCTGGTGCGCCCCGGGCAAAACGGCGTGTACTTCCTTTTTTCTTTTCTCGACTCGCATCGTCTTCTCTCTTCTTGGGCAGCCACCGACGGGCCGCGCTGTCTAGAGCGCCCCCCCCCCCCCCCCCTCCGACTTCCATCCCGCCTTACCCTAGTGCCTCCACCACACGCCGGCGCGCCCATTAAAAATGAGCGAGGCCGGACCACCGCTAAGGCCGCTACACGAAAGAGCCCGCCGCCACCGCAGCAGCCGCGGGGAGGGATAGAAAAGACGTCGGCAGGCTGGAGGGCTGCCGCGGTTATGATCGCCTCGACGCGCCCCTGTTTGTGGACAAGCCCGCGAAGAACGGGATTGCGTCCGCTTGAGAAGCCCGCTTTGAGCGTGGAATTTTCGGCAGCGCGGCGTGGGTGCGCGGGATACTACGGGCCGCGGCCGGAGAGCGCTTATGCTCGCCGGCGAAGAAACAAAGATATGGTAGCGACAAACGACGCAATATCGCAAAGCCGAAGATAATAAATAAAAAGCTGGAGCAAACGTTGATTGTCGCAGTCAATGCGCACAGCGTTGCCGTTTATGAAAGCTTAAACCAATTATCTGCACCCACATTGCATTGAACGGCAACCCGACGACACTTCGTCAGCGTCGCGAAAACACGCGAAATGTCGCAACGCCCAGCACGACGGAAATGCTCGATGACACAATCATTGCAGTGGAAAACGTGTCAAGTGTCTGAACGTGCTTTATTTAGTCTGTTCATGCTGAGTAGTGGTTTGAGCATCCGTGAATAAAGGCCCAGAGTTGAAATCCATAAGACTACGGCTTAATATTCTGTATTCGTGCTCATTCGGTGCACATATACACTACGCTTCCTCCAGTTTCTTAGACAAGTGAGAAAGAGTGCGCAATTTTCTTGGTTTTCTCGCATTCTTAGAATCCCAACTAGCAGCAGCAGTGTGGTTAATTGCTGCGAGGTCAGGGTGTCCACGATATGCGCGAAGGAATTACCGGCCTCTGCAGCACCCGCCCCTCTTAATTACAGTAAATCCCAACAGGGCCAATTATAGTTGGCTGAACCGGCGCTAGGGCAAACACAAGTCGACGACCCGCGCGGTGCAAGGGTTCATCGATGACGTCACGAGACCGCGTATAAAAATGGATGAATACGCAGTCAGGTACTGTCACCGGCAGTAGTCAGCTTTGAGTTAGCTTACTTAGCCGGCGCGGCAAACGATTTGTGAGCGAAAGAAGCGACGCGAGGCGTTGTGTACCAAGAAGACATAGTGCGTGCGTGCGTGTGTGCGTGTGTGTGTGTACATGCGGGTCAACATGAGGTCGCTATCAAGTCGATTATTCGATCAACTACAATACGAAGGGTACCTCGTATAGCGAATTGTCCGCGTACCTACGGC